ACAGGAGTTGGATTTGGGTCTTGGTGTGGAAAGGCTAGACCAGCTTGAAGACGTTACAAGAAAACTTCCTACCCTGATACAGCTCTCGGATTATTATCCATTATTGCTTTATCATGTAGGCAGGGACGAAGTTGCAATAGGAAGTCCAAGGGAGATTAAAAGAGACTTCAGGGCCTTGGGATGACTGGTTAAAGGATCAGTAGCCCAAATGTTTTTTTTCATCTGTCCTTCCAGTTGCAGGGAATGATGTTGGTAGAAATGGGAAAACCCGCCTGATATCTGGCTCTGAGCCTGGTGTCTCCAGCAGGATTTTAGGTTGTCTGATCAAGGGTCGGTCTACATGACACCAGGCCTGCTGGTGACAGGTGGGGTACATCTTTCTCAAAGAGGGGAAAGGACCTTTGCACAAGAGATAGCAGGGCTCATTTAAAGAGCTTTAAACTAAATTTGAAGCGGGAAAGGGATAAAACCAGGCTCATGAGTGATATGCCGTGGGGCGGTATGCCAATGTTTGAGGCATGGTGTGTTAGCAAGGTCCTTCAGTCTGCTCCACAGTGTGCTGAGTATGGTGCGACACATTTGAAATGTCACAGTACCTCAGAGTGGGTAGGGGGTGGAAGTCCATGTGGCAGCAGAGATGCAAGGGTTGTTGATGTGTTAGAAACCATGGAAGCGCCTCAGACCGGTCATATAATAATCAGGGCTTTTCCCCCAGAAAAAGGTGGCAGGATCAATAGCCCAACTGAAGTGCAACTATGCCAATGCACGCAGCGTGGGTAACAAACAGGAGGAGCTGCAAGCCATTGTGCAGCTGGAAGACTATGATATAGTTGCAATTACAGAAACATGGTAGAGTGACTTAACTGGAGTGCTGCAACGGATGGCTATAAACTCTTCTGAAGGGATAGGCAGAGCAGGAGAGGCAGTGGGGGCGCCCTGTATGTTAGGGAGTGTTTTGATTATCTAGAGTTTGATGATGGTGACAATAGGGTTGAGTGTTTATGGGTAAGAATCGGAGGAAAGGCCAATAAGGCAGATACCATGGTGGGAATCTGTTATAGACCACCCAACCAGGATCAAGAGTTGAATGAAATATTTAACAAGCAGCTGCAAGAAGTCTCACGATTGCTAGCCCTTGTTCTCATGGGGGACTCCAACTTGCCAGATGTGTGCTGGAAATACAAAATAGCAGAGAGGAAACAGTCTAGGAGGTTCCTGGAGCACATGGAAGATGACTTCCTGACACAGCTGGTGAGAGAGCCAACTAAGGAAGGCACCTGGCTGGACATGTTGTTTGTGAACAGAGAAGGACTTGTGGATGATGTGATGGCTGGAGGCTGTCTTGGGCACAGCAATCATGAAATGATACGGTTTTCGGTTCTCAGAGAAGTAAGAAGGGGGGTTAGCAGAACTGCTACCTTGGATTTCCAGAGGGCAGACTTTGGCCTGTTTAAGATGCTGGTTGACAAGAGTCCCTTGGGAGACCCAGTCAGCAAGAGTTGATGAAAGGCAGGTTCTGCTTGACAAACCTGATCTGCTTCTATGACAAGATGACCTGCTTAGTGGATGAGGGAAAGGCTGTGGATGTTCTTTATCTGGACTTTAGTAAAGCCTTTGACACCATTTCCCACACTGTTCTCCTGGTGAAACTGTCTGCTCGTGGCTCAGGTAAGTGTACTGTTTGCTGGGTAAAAACCTGGCTGGGTGCCCAGGCCCAAACAGTTGTGAATGAAGTTGAATCCAGTTGGTGGCTGGTCACATGTGGGGCTCCCCAGGGCTCAGGATTGGGACTGGTTCTGTTTAATATCTTTATGAATGATCTGGATGAGGGCATTGAGTGCACCCTCAGTAAATTTGCAGATTACACCAAGTTGGGCTGGACTGTTGATCTGCTTGAGGGTAGGAAAGCTCTATAGAGAAATCTGGACAGGCTGGCTCAATGGGGTGAGGGCAATTGTATGAGGTTCAACAAGGCCAAGTGCCGGGTCCTGCACATGGTTCAAAACAACCCCAAGCTACAGGCTTGTGGAAGAGTGGCTGGAAAGCTGCCCAGTGGAAAAGGACCTGGGGGTGTTGGTCAACAACCAGCTGAATATGAGCCGGCAGTGTGCCCAGGTGGGCCAATGGTATCTTGGCTTGTATTAGAAATAGTGTGGCCAGCAGGACTCGGGAAGTGATCACGTCCCTGTGCTTGGTGCTTGTGAGGCCCCACCTCAAACACTATGTTCAGTTTTGTGCCCCTTACTACAAAAAAGACATTCAGGTGCTGAAGTCTGTCCCAGGAGGAGCGACAAACCTGGTGAAGGGTCTAGAGCAGCTGAGGGAACTGGGGGTGTTGAGTCTGGAGAAGAGGACACTGAGGGGAGACTCTGTTGGTCTCTACAATTGACCTGGAAGGAGGTTGTAGTGAGGTGGGGGTTGGTCTCTTTTCCCAAGTAACAAGTGATAGGACAAGAGGAAGCAGCCTCAAGTTGCACCAGAGAAAGTTTAGATTGGATATTGGGAAAAATTTCTTCACTGAAAGGGTTGTCGAGCGTTGGAACAGACTGCTCAGGGAAGCGGTTGAGTCACCATCCCTGAAGGTGTTAAAAAACAGCGGTGGACTTAGTAGTGTTAGGTTGATGGTTGGACTTAATGATTTTAAGTGTCTTTTCCAACCTAAATGGTTCTGTGATTCTATGAAATGCATAGTAAGATAGCAACATATAGTCAGACCTAGAGCACTGTAATTGCATTATGGCACTAGTGAAGACTAGTACGGGAACTCAGCGTTGAAAGTATTGGTTTTGTTTAAGGCACATGAGCCAGGCATCTTCTACAAATACATGAAAGTCTTGTAGAAACTTCATTTTGGTAGCTCAGTAACACCATCCTTGAAAGGCTATGCACGTGCAATGGGGTTTAAGCGATCTTTGTGATCAGTACACTTGGTGAGGATATTGTTACTGGCATGAGTAGGAGTGGGATGGTGAAGTCCAAAATGAAATATTTCAAGTGCACATCATTGAATGGTGGGGCTGTGTTTTGGTTTTAGTACTCTTTGTGTAGCTGATGTGTGTATATTGTATCTTTACATAAGTCTTTGGAACGTTATTTTCACTTTTTAGAGTTCCTCACCGCAGTATCTTAAGAGCTCTGTATGTGCCCAGGGAACAAGGCTCAGATGCCAATAACTTTGAAAAAGACTTTCCTCATCTGAAGATTCTGCCATTTGGATTTCTCTGTCCTAAGTTTAGAAAGGGCAGCTAGTTTCTAGCCCATAAACAGTGATGCATAATCAGCTTTGTGGGGGCATACTTAAAACTCAGCCAGAGTTAGCAAGTACTATAGGTACATGTACACATATAACACATGTTAAATTTGAAATAACCTTTTTCACTATTTAATGCTTTCTGTTACCTTGAGAACTTAAACAGAGAAAGCTTTGCAGTGAAATATGCTTCATCTCCCTTTGCAACAAGCTGTTCAGTGTCTCTCAGTACCAGGGCGTGGGATTGAGGTAGGAGTGGGTGGTAAGGAAAAGAGGACTTTACAGAACTCTGCTTTTACTGATCTGGCCTATGGGTTAGATGGATGTCATGCAACAGAAAACACAATATCCAAACCTAAAGTTTTAAGCTGCAGTGTTTAAATATTAGTATGTCCTTGGAAAGTCTTAATGGCCTCTATTGATTCTCTGTTTGGAGCATCCTTGCAAGGTATGTGGAGGCCTTCATTCACTTCATAGTTATTCAGGGTGCATTCAGTGTGCAGTGTTACTGTTAGTCTTGCCTTAGGGTGAAGGCTTCTGTTCTCACTCTGTCTCTGAAACTGTGTGCATTTCATCCTTGCAGAGGAGGGATCTTTGGGGAGAATAATTTGATGGCTGCTTCCTGATAAATTTTGCCAGGTGCCTTGCTTAACTGTTTTATCAAGTAACCAGTTGTTCTCCCTGGTCATGCATCTCTCATCTCATTGCTTGTTGTGTTGGTGGCTGATAGAGCACTAAATACATCAGTGCTTTTAAAGTAGTCTCACGGAGCTAGTCCTGGCAACACATCCAACAAGTGTACAGTACCCTGACAAGGGTCATACAATCACTGTAAAATGAGTGATCAGAATGTTGTGAGTGGGAGAAGCTGAGTTCTTTTGCACCTTTCCATGATTTCACAGTGTCTCATTCTGATGATCTGAGGGCTGGAGCACCTCTCCTGTGAGGAGAGGCTGAGAGAGTTGTGGCTGTTCAGCCTGGAGAAGAGAAGGCTCTGGGGAGATCTTACTGTGGCCTTCCGGTACCTAAAGGGGGCCTACAGGAGAGCTGGGGAAGGACTTTTTACCGGGCCATGTAGTGACAGGATGAGGGGGAATGGCTTTAAACTGGAAGAAGGCAGGTTTAGATTAAATATTAGGAAGAAGTTTTTCACTTTGAGGAGTGTAAGGCACTGGAACAGGTTGCCCAGAGAGGTTGTTGAGGCCCCATCCCTGGAGGTGTTCAAGGCCAGGCTGGACGTGGCCTTGGGCAACCTGGTCTGGTGGGAGGTATCCCTGCCTATGGCAGGGGGTTGGAACTCGGTGATCTTCAAGGTCTTTTCCAACCTAAACCATTCTATGATTCTATGACTCTGGTTTTGCCATAGTGTCTAGCATTGTGGGGATTACTTGGCAGTTACACTTCTCTGTGACTGCATTCCAAAGTGTTAAAAAACCATCAGGCAGGAAGGAGTTGTTGTGATGCTTAATTAAATATAAAGCCTTTTCCTTTCCTGACCTTGAGGCTATTGCCACCTGCTAATAGTCTTACTTCCAGGCCAACCTAAGAACAAATTTAACGTTTGCCATCTGGCAAAATATTGCTTTAAGCATGTGTACAAACTGTTTTCCTTTAGGCAGGTATTGGGGACAACTATCAAGCTCTGAGGTAGTGGGCAGTCCAGATATGTTCAGCTGTGAAATGTAAAAGGGATTGAAATGATGATTTTTTTCCACTAACTTTGCTTTTTTTTTTCCCTCCCCACCCCCAGATAACTATTATCTTTAAATCATACCAAGACTGTACAGATCAGAAAGTATATCAAGCAGTGACTGATGATTTGCCTGCAGCTTTTGTTGATGGTACAACAAGTGGAGGTGATGGGAACACCAAGAGCTTGCAAATTGTGGAGAAAGTCAGTGGCAAGTACGTCGAAATGCATGCCAGGTACATTGGGACCACGGTGTATATACGCCAGCTTGGGCACTACTTAACATTGGCCATTCGCATGCCTCAAGAGTTGGTCATGGCCTACGAGGAGAGCCAGGATCTGCAGCTGTGTGTGAATGGTTGCCCTTCGAGTGAACGTATTGATGATAGTGGCCACTTACCATTGCCTGTTATGGGGCAGTTGCTCCCTCAGAGTGGTGCTGCTCATCCCTGGTCAGTGTACACACTGGAAACTGCCACCAGCAAATGCCATGAGAAGATGCTGGTGAAGGACATCTATTTTTACTCATGTGTGTTTGACCTGCTCACCACTGGTGATGCAAACTTCACGGCTGCTGCTCACAGTGCCTTGCAGGACGTGGAGGCACTGCACCCCAGAAAAGAGCACTGGCATATCTTTCCCAGCAGTGGAGGTGGTGGTGGTTTGGGCAAGGGTAGCAAATTCTTTGTCGGTATTGGACTTGTGTGCTTCATCCTTGTTGCGTTTTTGTAGAGTTTTTTTGTCTATAACAAAGTTTTGAAATATATATTGTCATAATATATTGAGTAAAGATGAGTATATATGTATATACCATGTATATGAAGGGATGTTTTGTCTCCGGACACCCACCAGATTGTACATATTGTGTTAACTGTTTTCATGTATGTTTGATGTAGTATTCTTTGTATCTATTTGTTTTGCAGTTGGTGAAATGTTTTATAATGTCCCTGCATTGGGACCTGATAGAAAGCACTTTATTTTTTATATATTAAATATTTATGTGTGTATCTGAGTAACTATGTATTATACATATAAACACATACATACAATACTCAGTGCTCCCTCTAAGTACTACTTGGTTTAACAGATTTTTTTAACTGCATTAATTTGTTGTTGTTTTTTTTTTTTTATATAACTTCTCTTACTCTAGAGACAGCGTGTCTCTTGTACTGTAATGACATTGGTGATTTACTGGGTTCACTAGTTAAAATCATTAAGAATGGAATTGTATTCTGTCCCTCAAATAAATGGCCATCCCTTCTTTGGAGGGAGAGAGTGAAGTGCTTCCCATTAGCTCAGATGACCGTAACATTCTTGGTAATTCTGACATTTCCTAGTTTCATGTCATGAGTTTCAAAAGAAGAAAAGGGAATGATTTGGAGACTTATGTAGCTTTATAGAACCACTGGAGAGAAAATTTTAAAAGATATTAATGACCTAGTTGTGTAAGCATGTAACATAACTATTGTAGCTGCCTCTAACCTTGAGGGTTAAGTCCTCGAGGTTATAGACCGCAGAAATCACAAGCCCGAGTTCTGTCCCTTGCTTAGGTGCTAATTCTGTCTATACGTTCAGAAGGAGTGAAAGCTCCTAGTTTTTATGAAGACTCTTTTGGATTGGTTAGGGACTGTTGGCTAGTACAGACAGTGGTAGTCTTGTCAAAGAAACTAATTAATTCCCTGAATGAACGGGTAACTGCATACGGATGTCATTCTGGGAACACTTGGGGTGAAAGTAGTCAGAACTGAGTTAAAGCTGAAAGTAAAACTTTATTTTAGACTAGATCATTGGCAGCTTCTTCCATCTGTGCTGTCTGATGGTGCCGTTTCAGATGAGTTAGACTTGTGAATTTATGATATGTCTGATAATGTGGCTCCTGTGCTTTCATCTGATGGTGACAGGTTTCTCCCTGTTTCATGTGTCTGAACGTCCTCATCAATGCTCTGAATTTAAAGTTGTCATGGCTGAAAGCTGATGGATGAACCTAGTGCTGCTTGCAGTGGTGCACATACTTACTGGGCAGGCACTATATATTAGTTAGTTTCCTCTGTGCCTGGATCCTGTGTGTATATACATATATACCCTATATATATGTATACTAGCATTGAGTTGTGAGCCTCTCAGATAAATAATATTTCGGAAATGTAATTCCCCTAAAGATTTTTCCATTTTTTTGTTCCTGCTGTGGGATTTCTTGAGAAAATGTTATTTGCACATGTTCATTCTTGAAGTCTGCCATCACCAAGAGAGCTTTCGTTAATGCCAAACGTGGATATTTTGAAACTAGTGAATAGTCTCTGGAGACAACTTAAGGTTAGAGGGAATGCTTTTTTTCACAGGCCCTCCAAATAGCTGTCTTTTAGAAGGCTACAGATATTTTTTTTTCATGCTTGGAACCCCCACAATGTGTCAGTCTTTGCAAAACCTTTTAGATATGGTTCATGAATATACCAATAAGTGTATGTTTGTGTAAAAGAGTGGCTGTGCAGTGTATAAATAAATTATTATGATAGAAGAATAAAGTTGCCTACCCTGCTGAGGTGCCGCCTGTAATGTGGTGTTAGTGACCCCTGGTGGGTGAGAGAAATTGGGGACGTGGGCGATGTACTGGGCAGGCAATCTATAAATAAAGCCCCAATTTGTCTCCTAGCCATCGCTTTTTGGATAGGAATGTGCTGAGTACAGTCATCATATTTCCTTGCAGATGCTTGTTTCCCCTCTGCTAAATAAACTGTGTAGTGAAATTTATGGCCAGCAGCTGCAAACCAGGCCAGTTTATTGAAGAGACAGTGTGTGGGAAACCAACAGCAGGAACCATCCCCTCAGGATCCCACTTGTACAGTTCCTTTGCAGAGGTACTTAGCAGAGCTTTAATACAGTGATCTGATATTGCTGCGTTTGATGGGCATTATGAAAATCCTTTTTTAAAGTTCCTGGAGAATTCTCAGATCAGAAGGACCCTGGAAGAGAAAATTACTTGCTGTAAAGCAAAAAGAGATTGAGGCATTGAAAGAATAAATGATATACAAGAGTCCATAAGATTACAGAACTTTGTATAACACGATGATCTGCTAAGTATACATGGGAGCTGGAATATTTCAGCTGCAGGGCTAATCACACAATGTGAAGGTAAATTGAAAGTGTCAAAACTTAAAACAAGTTATATCAGATACATACCAAGAAAGATAGACCTAATAAACACAACGTTGAATGTTGTTTTGCTAAACTTGTGTTACAGCTAGAATCTGAGGTGTGTGTGAGGGGAACAATCTTACGTGGTACATACATCATTGAAAAGCCTTATGGAAATGACTGTAGAAAACAAAGGGAGCTTTAAATATGTATATGTTTAGTGTATACAGAAGGCAGCCATTGCATCTGTAAGAGCTTACTTTCAAAGGTGTTGATCTACCGCCACAAAACTCTGCAGAAGGCAATTTAGCATGATCATCAGTATTTTAATGCAACAACTAGTAAGCTATAACTGACAGTATCTGTTGTTGGCCTTTGTCTTAAAAAAGTTAGCTGATGCCTTGGATATTAGTGAATTTATAGTGAATTTATATTAGGAACAAATAACCTTGTTCAAAAGGTTATTTATCTTCTAGAGCATTTCTAACCAGAGTATTTCCTAATCCTATGCTAACAGAGCTCTTACCAGCAGCTGAGGATAGTTCTCTGTTGTGGAGTCTTGACAACTTCCCTAGGAAGCATATCACAGAACTGGGCAGAGAACCGGGTGCTTAATGCTGCCTTTTGTATGTCCATAAGGCTCCTAAACAAGGGTATTAAAAAAGGAAATAGTATGCCTAACTGACTGCCAAACCAAAACTTCTTTTTTCTTGCTTCCTGGAAAGCCGGCCTGGAAGAGTAATCTGCATAGAGCACCTGTTAAGTGGAACGCAACTTGAGAGAATGCAGGGTCGGAGAACAGCCTGGCTTTTGTTCTTGGCACTTTAGCAGCGTGTTTCCTTTCAAACTGCAGCTGTACTGCCAGAAAGTAGATCACCAGCTATTTACATTCTCTTACCTTGGCATTATGGATACCATGCATTTCTTTTAGGGGTTTTGAGGATGTGCAAGTGGGTATTTACTTACACCCGAAGTGAAAGCAAGCAATGTTGCAAGCTTCGCACTGCCTAATGAGAGTTTTGTTAGGCTTCTTTACAAAACATATATACTAAGTGATTTCTGGCTTTCTTCTCTTCTGACAGACTCATAGCACAGTTTCAAATCTTGCATTCATTTTCTTCATGTGAGTACAGCTGTGGTGTTTTACACTGAAATTTTCATGCTTTGGGTTATTTTAATTCCCATCTGTGTTTTGACCA